TCGGGCGGGTCGGGTTCGGGCTCGGGCAAATCCTCGGGCTTTTCGGGCGGTCGCGGGCGGCCCGTCCAAAGTTCCAGCACTAATCTTTTTACTTTTATGAAAGATTCGGGAATCCTTCAATTTGTCTTTTACCGTACGCATGAAAAAATGAAATAAAAATTAAAAAAAATAAAAAATTTTAATTGTCAGTCGGGGTTGGTCGCGGGCGGCCCGTCCAAAGTTCCAGCACTAATCTTTTTACTTTTATGAAAGATTCGGGAATCCTTCAATTTGTCTTTTACCGTACGCATGAAAAAATGAAATAAAAATTAAAAAAAATAAAAAATTTTAATTGTCAGTCGGGGTTGTTGAGACTTTGTGAATAACCACTATGAACTACTCTTTCTTTTTTAGTCTTATGTTGGCCACGTCCAAACTGCTGCGCTAACCAACTTACCAATTACCTGCAGTTTCAACTATACTACATTCAAAGTGTGTTAGGAATTAGATTCCTTAATTCCAATATAGTAACCGATACCAACAAAATCATTATAAAAGAAATTAAGCAAAAAAAAAAAAAGAATACACAAATTTATAGGGTTTGTCTCAATGTGAGACTTGTGTATGTTATTTTTTAACCACCACAGTTTTTTCACTATAAAAAAGAAGTTTACAAGAGAAAATCACGTACACATCACAACTCTCAGTATTTTTTTTAATCTCTTTAATAATAGCCGAAAATCGGCACCTTGTTATATAATGAAAATTATGACAGTAGACTTTCATAAATATGAAATCGATCCGTGAAATTTTTTGCGTAAAGCAATAAATTGTAAGGGTAATTAATTAGACTCTACAATTATTTAACTTAACAAAAGTGACAGTTTAATATTACTTTTTTTTAACTTCGAATTAAAATATCATTGTAGCTTCAGAATGTAAAGAATCTTTTGAATGGGCAAAGATAAACGAGTATATACTTTTTTAATAGATCAATTTGATCCCGTATTGTCATAAAAGGTTATAGACAGAATAAATAAATAATTTCGTTGTTGTTAGCCAATCGCAAATTATGTCCAAGCATTAGAATGTAAATTATATACACTAGATTGTTTACCTATTTTGTTAGTCGAATTTTTAAGTATCGTTAGTTGTGTTTAATTATTGAAAAGTTATATATTCCATCGTTTGTTTACCTATTTTGTTAGTAGAATTTTAAAGTATCCTTGATAGCGTAATGATTATTGATTTTTCAATTGTGGAAAGGTTTTCACATAAAATTGCATGCATCGTACTATAACAATTTGCGATATCATATGTACTCTTATTTATATTCTCTTTAGGTATATCCCACAATAAAATTTTATCACGTCAATTAAAATATCTTAATTGTCATGATTTTTTAATTGACATAAAATGAAATTTAATTGATATGATATTATTTAAAAGATACAAAAAAGTACATAAATCAGAGGTCCAGGATACATGAGTCGATTCCAACAATATTTGTGAGGGGACACAAGAGTCATAACATGTATAGCATCCGAGTATATCATTAGTCAAATTTCACTATTTGGTAGGATATGAGAGTTGTTAAGTTTAATATAAGGGACTCACATTTTCCATACTAAACTCACTCATAACTTAGTTCAATAGAAACAATCCACGTGTCCCACGTGAAGGCACGTATACTAGGCCACTAGCTCATGCTTCTTTTTAATTTGTTGTCATAAATTTGAGTCTCCCATGATTCAATATACCCTCGTAATATGCCTATAAATACGAGGTCACAATTAGGTCATAAAGTAGAGAAAATTACTCAAAGCAACCATATAATATTCATCCATAAATTTCCACTCACATAAATTTCAAGCAAAGAATACCAAATTATCACTATAACATAATCATATATAGAATATGGTTTCTGGACAAGTGAAATCGTTCACGGTGAGAGTGAACAAGAAAGACGTTGTGGCCTCGGCGCTGCCATTGCAAGAGCATTGGCTTCCTCTCTCCAACCTCGACCTCCTCCTGCCGCTGCTCGACGTCGGCGTGTTCTTCTGCTATGGCGTGTCGAAACCGACGAGCTTCGCAAGCATGGTCGGGGTGCTCAAGAAGGCCCTGGCGCAGGCCTTGGTGTCCTTCTACGCCTTTGCCGGAGAAGTCGTCCACAACCCCGACGGAGAGCCCGAGCTGCTATGCAACAACCGCGGTGTCGATTTCATCGAGGCCTTTGCCGATGTCGAGCTCTGCCACCTCAATTTGTACAACCCCGACGACTGCGTTGAGGGCAAACTTGTGCCTGCCAAGAAGCATGGCGTCCTCGCGGTGCAGGTGGTGCTATTGTTTTATCCTTATAATTGACAACATTTTAAGTATTTGAAATTATTATATTAGAAATATGTGGAATACCCTGAAAACACAAAAGTAACAATGATCATACAATTACTGCAAAATAACGTTCAAAAAAAAAAAGGAAAGCATGCTAGGTTTATACCTTTTTTTAGTGACGATAATAAAAGATTTAAATCCTTGTAAAAATAAATTTTAACGTTTGTGTTAGTTTTATAGGTTAGAATCGAAACATTTTGATTCAAACATTCTTTGCTACAATGATTTTTCTCGCAGAAATTAAAAAAAAAAAAAAAAGAATAAATTTGAACCAAACCTAGGAGTGAAGATTGAAAATATTTTAGATCTAAACTTCATTTAACGACTGCAGGCATTCGAACTAGATATAAATACATAAAATAAAAATGTTGGATATGTACCATAGCCTTACTCGCAATATCTTTACAAAGTATTCTACCCAAACAAAAGAAAAAGAAAATCTTGTCGAAGGTCTTTAATATACTCGAATCGTGAAAGAAACCAATTAAGAAAAATGAAACATAAAAAAAAAAAAACGTTTCAGATAATGACTTGAGAAGAACGACTTTTCCAGGTCTTGAGGAGCACCGACAATCACGTGTTACTTGTGTAGTGCTCGTCAACCCTCATCGGCCTCACAAATAGATATTTAGGGGAAAAAAAAAAATATATATATATATATATATATTTACAAAAGATATTTTTTTTCAATAGAAGAAAATTAAGATATATATCTTTTTTCTGCATGCTTTTATAGAATCAAAGAAATATATTGACATATAAAGATTTGTGGTTCTATTCTCGTATTGACACACAAATTGCTTTATTAATAATTAGTAGATAAATTTGAATTCACATGACTAGGTTGTTAAATATTAGATGATATCATAAATTAGTGGTGGTGGAGGAATAAACAAGAAAATGAGATAATATAACTGTACTCTGTAGTACTCGTGTTGAGCCTTTTAGTTGGATTCATAGCTGGCTATAGGTTTACGGGAAACTATAATTGGACTGATTGTTCGAATATCGTCAACTAAATGCCCACTTCCTACGAAAAGCGAAAAAGATTCCAAATCCAAAGTAGAACCAAACGTAAGAATATTAGGGACATAAATGAAGACGTATATCAAGTCCTTTCTCATTTATTTTGCGCACATGATTCATATCTATACTGAGATACGAAGCACGTTAAGTTGTATCACATGGGTACGCATGATCAAGTAATTAAAGTTATTAACAGAATCTATTCAGAAAAACAATACAAAAATTTTTAAGTTTTTTTTTTTTCATTTAATTACCGCAAGTATAAGACGTAGTATTAAATTTGAGAAATGCTAGCATCATTTTTTTGTTATTCTGCATTTACTGTTTGACACGTGAACTTTACTAATACGATATATTATTGTTTAAACACAAAATAAAATGATAGAGTGCACGTGTTAATTAACAGTAAATGCGGAGAGTGATAAAGATAGTGATAGAAATAGTGATATGCTAACATTTTTCGTTAGATTTTATTAGTTTTGCGAGAGAGAAAAATAATATTTTAGTCATACTTAACGTTCAAAAATATACACTTTTGACAAGATATTTTGTCGAAAAACGTTCCTATTAAAATGACAAAACGTTGCAAAATTATATGGATATTCATGAATATCTACTCATCAATGATCATTACTAATTGTGATTGAGCAAAAAGATCGCTACCAATAATTGTTGTTAAATTTGTGTCATATCATGTGTACAGGCAACAGAGCTAAAGTGTGGCGGAATAGTGGTGGCATGCACATTCGACCACCGCATAGCAGACGCCTACTCAGCCAACATGTTCTTAGTTTCATGGGCGAACATGTCTCAATCCAAGCCCTTCTCTCTCCTCCCTTCCTTCCGCCGTTCTCTCCTCAACCCCCGCCGCCCCGGCCTCTTCCACCCGTCCCTCGACGACATGTATGTCCCCGTCAGCGCCTTGCCGCCCCCGAAAGACTCCCCCTCCGCCGCGGACCATCTCATCAGCCGAATATACTATGTCAAGGCCGAGCAGCTGGAGCGGCTTCAAGCTCTATGCAACAACAAGAGGACTAAGCTCGAATCTTTCAGCGCATTTTTGTGGAAGATGGTTGCGGAAGGCGCCGCCTTGGACGGCTCCGAGAAGGTCTGCAAAATGGGCATTGTTGTGGACGGACGCAGAAGATTAAGTAGTACTGTTGATGACGAGGTCGAGGAGGATAATGGTAGCGCAGACAAGGGTATTAATGTAATAAGATCAGCGCGTTCGGCGCTGATGGAGTCGTATTTCGGGAACGTTCTGTCGATTCCATTTGGGGGAAAGAAGGTGGAGGAGCTGGTGGAAAAGCCGCTCGGGTGGGTGGCCGGAGAAGTGCATGAATTTTTGGAAGGCGCGGTTACGAAGGAGCACTTCTTAGGGCTCATCGACTGGGTGGAGGCGCGGCGGCCGGTGCCGGGGTTGGCGAGGATATACTGCCGGGGGAGCGAGGACGGGCCGGCGTTCGTGGTGTCGTCGGGGCAGCGGTTTCCGGTGTCGAAGATCGATTTCGGGTGGGGGAAGCCGGTTTTCGGGTCGTACCACTTCCCGTGGCGCGGTGATGCCGGCTACGTCATGCCGATGCCGAGCCCGGCGGGGAACGGAGATTGGGTGGTGTACATGCACATGCCCAAGAAGCAATTGGAGGTCATAGAGAAGGAGGCATCTCATGTTTTTAGGCCCTTCAAATTTGAATATCTTAATATTTTTAAGAATTAATATTAATTTATCATATTTCATAGCTCTATGTTATATTGGAGATTCTAGTTTTCATGAAATGGATTTGGATGCCTTCAAAGTAATTTTTTTTTAAAAAAATGGATTTGGATTGGATGCTCACCAGCTCTCACCTGCTACCTTTCTCTCATATTATTTGTTCAATTGTGTGGTTAACTGGTTACTTGTTAATTAATCCCCAAGACCAATGGTATGAATAGCGGATTGGGAAGGGTTTTATTAGGGAATTTGTTGGTTCGATTAAATTTCTTATTTGTAAAATAAAAAATAGAAAAGGCCAAAAAGCAAAAGAAATTAGAAAGAAAAACTAAAAGCAAACAAGAAAAATGGAAGGCTGACGTGTGGCAAAAGGATGAGCAAAGAGCAAATTCTTTTTGGCTATGTATAGAATAGATAAATAAAAATATAGATAGATATAGATATAGATGTAGATAAAGAGATAGAAAAAAAAAATTTGAACTAAAGCAACATTTGAGAAAAAAGAAAAAAAAAATTAAAAAAACCAAATATCAAAAAAGCAAAAAGAAATCAAAATAAGATAAAGTAAATTAGAAAGCAAATTACATTACAAGAAAAAAAAAAGAAATTAGAAATAAAAACTGAAAGCAAAAATAGGGAGGCTGACATGTGGTTAAAGGAGGAGTAAGGAGCAAACTCTCTTTGACTTAAGTATGTATAGATATAGATATATAGATAAATGTTACTGAAACATGAAACTAAAAAGGTGAATTATATAATTTTGTCACAAAAAGGAAATGAACCAATTCAGGAGTTATATGTCAATGGAAAATGAAAGATATTGTTGTCCATGTTGGATACATCATATATGAAGTGTATGAAAAGTAAAACAAATTCACCTATATCCTTATTTGTATTATGTATCATTATACTCGTTGAGTTTTAAAACACGTCATAAAACTCAGCACAAGTTTTTCTTTTTTTCTCACAATATATCATGTTTTTTGTCAAATCTATTTACGTTCAGAAATTGATTTTATACATATGTCTCATCACGAGATTTACGTTTAGCAGTCAAATGCAGTCACTCATTAAGACTAAATGAAATTGTAAAAATCATTTATGTATATATAAAATACAAAAAATAGTATAGGAGACTATATTTGCATTGAAATTTAATTATCCCAGACAATTAATTTGCTTATTTGGTTATAATAGTCCTATATTCCATGGGGTATACATGAACAAGTAGTTTAAGTCATTGACAAAATCTATTCAGAAGGACAATACAAAAACTTTCAAGAAATATGTACCACATAAAGAAACTTTCAGATTATTTTTTTTTTAAAAAAAAGCATATTTTAAGAGATCGTGGCAAAAGAGAGAGAGAGAGTTTATATTAAAGGAAGAAAATGTCATGAAATTAAATATAATAAAAGGATAATTGTGTGTCAATTTTTCTTTTAGGGGCGGATCTTATATCATATGGGGTACACATAACCAAGTAGTTTAAGTCATTGGCAAAATCTATTTAGAAGGACAATACATAAACTTTCAAGAACTATGTACCACATAAAGAAACTTTCAGACTAAATTTTTTTTTTAAAAAGCATATTTTAAAAGATCGTGGCCAAAGAGAGAGAGTGTGTGTATTTTAAGAGGAAAAATGTCATGAATTAAATATAATAAAAAAGATCATTGTGGGTCGGTTTTTCTTTTTGGGGGTGGATCCAAGCAGATCACGAATTAGTTGGCAATTAAACAATAAAAAGACAAATTATTTGAAAGAAAACCACATGATCTATTAAATCATCAATTTTTCTTGTTCAAGGTTGTTTTAAATTTGCAAAGAAGCAAATGATCTGTAGATAATATAAAATTTATAAATTGTCTCTTCAACACTAACGTCCGTAAGAGTCAGGTGAAGTAACAGAAGACCCAAGCCAAAAAAAGGGAGGCTCTTGTCTATCTCTCAGGAAAATATATATATATATATATATATATATGGACTGAGATCCTATATATTGTCCATACTTCGCAATTGGCTGACATTTTAATTGATTCTACGTCGAAGTACTTGACATTTTAATTGACATTTTATTTATAAATTAAAATAAATGTGGATAAGATACAGCGTGCAGCATATTAAAATTTCAATTTTCAACAACATGAGAGATTCGAGGCTGGCAACATGCGAACAATTCCCTTGGAATATTAACTTTCTAAGCTCTTTGTCGGTCCTACACGATTAGGTTGTTAAATATTAGATGATATCATAAATTAGTGGTGGTGGAGGAATAATCAAATTATAATTGGACAAGAAAATGAGATAATATAACTGTACTCTGTACTCATGTTAAGCCTTTTAGTTGGATTCATAGCTGGCTATAGGTTTACGGGAAACTATAATTGGACTGATTGTTCGAATATCGTCAACTAAATGCCCACTTCCTACGAAAAGCGAAAAAGATTCCAAATCCAAAGTAGAACCAAACGTAAGAATATTAGGGACATAAATGAAGACGTATATCAAGTCCTTTCTCATTTATTTTGCGCACATGATTCATATCTATACTGAGATACGAAGCACGTTAAGTTGTATCACATGGGTACGCATGATCAAGTAATTAAAGTTATTAACAGAATCTATTCAGAAAAACAATACAAAAATTTTTAAGAACTATGTACCACATAAAGAAATTTTAAGATTAAATTTAAAAAAAAAAATAGCACATTTGAAGAGATTGTGGCCAGAGAGAGAGAGAAAGAGAGTTTATTTTAATGGGAGAAAATGTCGTGAAATTAAATATAATAGAAAGGATAATTGTGGGTCAGTTTTTCTTTTGGGGGTTGATCCTATATCACATGGGGTACACCTGACCAAGTAGTTTAAGTCATTGACAGAATCTATTCGGAAGGACAATACAAAAACTTTCAAGAACTATGTACCACATAAAGAAACTTTCAGATTAAATTTAAAAAAAACATATTTTACGAGATCTTGTCAAGAGAGAGAGAGAGAGATAGTTTATTTTAAGGAGAGAAAATGTCGTTAAATTAAATATAATAGAAAGGATAATTACGGGTCAGTTTTTGTTTTGGGGGCGGATCCTATATCACATGGGAGTACACATGACCAAGTAGTTTAAGTCATTGACAGAATCTATTTGTAAGGACAATACAGAAACTTTCAAGAACTATGTACCACATAAAGAAACTTCAGATTAAATTTTTTTTTTAAAAAAGCATATTTTAAGAGATCGTGACCAGAGAGAGAGTTTATTTTAAGGGGAGAAAATATCGTGAAATTAAATGTAATAGAAAGGATAATTGTGGGTCAGTTTTTCTTTTGAGGGCGGATCCTATATCACATGGGGTACACATGACCAAGAAGTTTAAGTCATTGACAGAATCTATTCGGAAGGACAATAAATAAACTTTCAAGAACTATGTACCACATAAAGAAACTTTCAGATTAAATTTTTTTTTTAAAAAAAGCATATTTTAAGAGATCGTGGCCAGAGAGAGAGAGAGAGAGAGAGTTTATTTTAAAGGGAGAAAATGTCGTGAAATTAAATATAATAGAAGAGATCATTGTGGGTAAATTTTTCTTTTGGGGGCGGATCCTAAATCACATAGGGTACACCATGACCAAGAAGTTTAAGTCATTGACAGAATCTATTCGGGAGGACAATAGTGAAACTTTCAAGAACTATGTACTACATAAAGAAACTTTCAGATTAAATTTAAAAAAATAAAACATATTTTAAGAGATCGTGTCCAGAGAGAGAGAGAGAGAGTTTATTTTAAGGAGAGAAAATGTCGTGAAATTATATATAATAGAAAGGATAATTGTGGGTCAGTTTCTGTTTTGGGGGTGGATCCTATATCACATGGGGGTACACATGACCAAGTAGTTTAATTCATTAACAGAATCTATTCGGAAGGACAATCCATAAACTTTCAAGAATTATGTACCACATAAAGAAACTTTCAGATTAAATTTTTTTTTTTTAAAAAAGCATATTTTAAGAGATCGTGACCAAAGAGAGAGAGGGAGAGAGAGTTTATTTTAAGGGGAGAAAATGTCGTGAAATTAAATATAATAGAAAGGGGGTTGATCCTATATCACATGGGGTACAAATGACCAAGTAGTTTAAGTCATTGACAAAATCTATTCGGAAGGATAACAAAAAAAAAACTTTCAAGAACTATGTACTACATAAAGAAACTTTCAGATTAAATTTAAAAAAAAAAAGCATATTTTAGGAGATCGCTGCCAAAGGGAGAGAGAGAGAGAGAGAGAGTTTATTTTAAGGGGAGAAAATATCGTGAAATTAAATATAATAAAAAAGATAATTGTGGGTCAGTTTTTGTTTTGGGGGAGGATCCTAAATCACATGCGGTACACATGACTAAGTAATTTCAGTCATTGACAGAATCTATTCGGAAGGACAATACCGAAACTTTACATAAATAAATTTTCATATTAAATTTAAAAAAGAAGCATATTTTAAGAGATCGTGACCAGAGAGAGAGAGTTTATTTTAAGGGGAGCAAATGTCGTGAAATTAAATATAATATAAAGGATAATTGTGTTTTAGTTTTTCTTTTAGGCACAAATCCTATATCACATGGGGTACACATGACCAAGTTGTTTAAGTCATTGACAGAATCCATTCGGAAGGACAATACAAAAACTTTCAAGAACTATGTACCACATAAATAATCTTTCAGATTAAATTGAAAAAAAGAGCATATTTTAAGAGATCGTGGCCAGAGAGAGAGATACAGTTTATCTTATGGGGAGAAAATGTCATGAAATTAAAAATAATAGAAAGGATAATTGTTTGTCAGTTTTTCTTTTGGGGACGGATCCTATATCATATAGGGTACACAGGACCAAGTAGTTTAAGTCATTGACAAAAACTATTCGGATGGACAATACAAAAACTTTCAGGAACTATGTACCACATAAAGAAGGTTTAAGCTTAAATTTAAAAAAAAAAAAAAAACTTATTTTAAGAGATTGTGGCCAAAGAGAGAGAGAGAGAGAGAGAGAGAGAGAGAGGGAGAGAGAGAGAGAGAGAGAGAGAGTTTATTTTAAAG